AATGGCTGTGTCTGCATGTTCTCTCGTTTTGAAGCACTTGAGGCCTCGACCGACAAGCCTGCCCTATGATAGTGTTGGAACAAATAAGGTGAGATCAAGCTACGTTAACTAACCCATAGGTTGTGGTGCAAACACCAAGACGTTCGCCGACGGTTGACACCTGTGCTAGAGAGTGCACATGCCCTTTCCATTAAGCGATGCGGCCCCCTGCAATACACCTGTCCTTTGTATATGAAGATCTGTCCGTTTCAAGCGGTAAGAACGATTCTTCATGCATTTTTCAGCTTGATTCCCACTCCACCAACGGTGGCTTTCGGATTACAACCTATCGGAAAAAGCTGTGCCCTAACAATCGTTCCCAAACCACCGCCGACAGATTTTGACGGCCTTCGTAAATAACTGAATCTAGTGATGAATAAGCTTCAGAGGCTGGACCCCAGGAGGACCGCAACTAACTTTAGGCGATTGATTGTTCAAGGGCAAACCCTGCCGCGTCAAGGCTCAAAGTGTAACTGACGGCCTGGTATTGGTGGTCAAGGATACTGCATCTCAACCCAAATGGCAGTCTAGGGATACAGACTTTGGCTTTTGTGTGCCCTGTGACAGACCGACCACTACCAGCGACCGCTGGTGTGTAACGGATGGCGTACCATATAATGTCGGCTGTATGTATGGTGGACCTGCCCGCCTTGAAGTGATTATCCTTAGGTTTGTCACAAAGTTGAGCCCATATAAAAATACTTTTGGTTGTTAGCCCCCGGGCCATCCGGAAAGCGCAAAGGTGTGGTTGCTACCTCCTCCACAAAGAGGGCGCCTTATGGTGTTCAACTGAACTGAAGCACAAAATCCCAGCACAGTGTGTCATGGAAGTCTGCGTGTGTTAGGCAAGAATGCACACGGATCCCACTATAGCGCACGTCTTGAGGCGCTGCTACGGCCTCATGGCGATGACCTAACGTAGATCTATCTTATTTCAGGACCTCAACGTCCAGATGAACACCCCTCACGAAGAAGATCATATGCCTCCCGGAAGCAAAACGACCACTACATCTTAACTTTCCATGTCGTCTATTTCGAAACTTTCCCTGGTAGAGATGGATAGGCGCGCTCCGGCTACCTGATTAGGCTTCGTGGACCCCTAGTCGCATGTTAGTCGCGTGCATCAGCTAGGTTCGTTCAGCTGCCCGCTATGATCGACCCGGATACTATGTGGCTAATCGATCCTCGCCAAGGTCTTCCCAGTAAAACTCAAAAGCTAAATGGTGCACTCTACTGTTTACCAACAAACTTGCACTACTTTTCGCCAATAATGAACGTGGATCACGAAATTTTTACTGGTGGCGGCAATTTTTGAGCGAAATTGTTTTCATGAATGCACCTCCACATATTTTGCATCCACAAAGGCCATGTAGATTCTATAATGTTCAAGGAATTATTTCAGCTTTTAAAAGTTCCATCCGTTGTAAGTGAGTCACCTTTTTCCGCAATTCGCGATTTCTTATTACATTATGCAACGTATTCACAGTCGGCGGTGTTTATTGACCTTGAAGACTCGCTCACATGGACAAATCACCATGGTAGATCATTTGCAATAATGCATGAAAATATGCATTATACATAGACATTGCATGCTATGAAGCCGTTAGCCTGAAAATGCCGTGGCCTTCAATTGATCAATTACATTGCGCGAATACTGAGCGGCGTGGCTTTAACAGTAGCTTCACATGTGTGTCAGTTATCTAGATGTGACTTAATTAGGCTGATCATGAAAAGTTGAGCGCTAGAAATCGTCTGTTTTTACCAGAAGGATGATGATGTGTACAATAATTAGGTGCAGCTGATAAAATATTTAAAATAGAAAAGGTGGAACAAACCAGAAAGAGACTTATCGTTCGAGGACACTTGTTGAGAGTTCCTGACAGGAATTTTTGGACCCGAGACGCGTTTGCTCTGCGGTTTAGCTGCTACATGTGCTCCTTATTATCCGTGGAGAAGTGTGGAGCTGTGTGAACTCGCGTGTGTGGTGTGTTGGGCCGAGTTGTGTGCCTATGTATTGTGTGCAGTTTGAAGAGAGGGGGCACCCTCCCGTTTGATGTGTGCACGAACATGAATACATATAAATACTGTTCCCTAGCGAGCGAGGAATCTAGATGCTGATGAAATGGTGGAGGATGTTAACCTGCGACAATGTGGAACAAAACAAAGCACGAAAGAGACAGTGGATGCGGAAGCGCTAATTAGATTAAGTAACAGCTACAAGTACGTTTGCCTATCGAAAAGGAAAAAAGGTCGGTTGAACGTGAGGTACCAACTTGTGATGAAATATCTGGTGTCAAATTACGATGAAAGGGTCTAGTCAATGTACGTGTCTGCCAAAACGGTTAGTGCGGTGTGGTTGTGCAGGGCGATCGTCTGTAGGTTTGAGGATGTGCGTGCAAACTTATCGAGGGCACTTTGTTGTGGTCTCTCAGGGGCACTTCGCTCAAGAGGTTCTAATTAAGTGGGTTTGAAGTAATGAATAGGATTTTTTCCCGTTTAGGGTGAAAAAGAACGGCAAACTAGTCTTCATTCTGCAGACCAACACGGAAAGGACCGGTTTATGGAGTTTGCGGGACTGGTTTAACATGATCAGAACGAATAAAAACATGAGAACCGGTGAACAGGTCTGGAGGAAGAAAGAATTATTTGTTTTGTGTTGCAGGTGATTAATAGCGTAGTAAAGATACGTACGTTTTGTTAGTTACGCAGGTAGATGAATCAGGGATATTTTGACTATCCGGGCCAAAACGTGATCCGGTATTCGTAATGTTGTGCAGCAAACAAGTTCTGTTAAAGAACAGCTCAAGGGCGAACGACACATAGCGTGTAAATGTAGCAATACCAGCAATAGTAGATCAGACCAACCAGATGAACCATTTTGTGGTTGTTTTCAACTTTCGGTGAAATCGTGCATATGGGCCGTTTGCTTGAAGATGATAGGCAGTGGTGCAAATGCGTTTGCATCCGGGTAATTCAGCAAGAACCTGGAATAGTTACGAGTCATATCACGATCCGCGATCGGTCGTTATAGAAACAAGGCCCCGAAATTGGGAATTCAACCACTTATACACGCTGGAGCCACGGTCTCGGTAGAAATATCGGGAATGCGAATATCCTGAGTACACTGTGCGAAGCAGATGGGTTGCAAGACGAACGGAAGTTCCTGAAATCCGAAGAAGCTAGTAATCTGAGCGTACCTATGTTCACTATTAGTAGGCGTAGTGCTTGCCACTTAGTGCGCTGTCTTAGGAGACAGGGAACCATCTCTCGGGGACTTCTTATTATCTTGAACACAACCATAAATTTTCTTAGTATTTGTACAATCGACTTTCGGTAGATAGACGGCTAGCCTAAGAGGAGCTGGGCACCTGATGAGCCCCGCTGAAGCGTTCAACACCGTCATGTAAGGCGCGATATTTTCTAGCCAATGCATTCAGCAGGGTCCTTACCACCCAGGACATAAACAACCACTGCCGGATATGTCGTCTATCCATGTTAAGTACGTGGCGCATTGCTGGGTTTTACTATGGTAGATGATACGTCTTCAGTCCCAGCCAAACCTCTTCGGGGAATTCTTAAAGCAACTGATTCTGGCCTGTAGTACAAGCTGTGCACTTCCCTGTTCACGAATGGCATGAGTACCGCTCGTCCGGCCACCTGATTAGGCATCATGGACTCCCAGCCGCATGTTAGTCAGCTAGGTTCGCTCAGCCGTCCACTATGATGAACGTAGATTGCATGTAGCCGGTTGATCAGGTAACGTGGACCTCCAGCTACATGGTAGTCCTGTGTGTCAGCTAAATTCATTCAGTAATCATCCATGATTGACGACATGGTCGTCCTGGAATATATCGCTAGTTACAACGCAGAACTTTGCACTTGCATAGATCATCAACACCTGCGAGCCTTACGTTCATTCAGCCTCGCACGAGTTTTCAAAAAGAATGGATTCGTCTTCCGCGGTGACAACTGGTAATAGCAATTATCGATCCATGAATGTATAATACGGCATTGGACCAGTCAAGCGGGTATAAATTGCAAACATTATTTACAGGTGTGGCACCTCCGCGTATTTTGCATCCATAAAGGCCGTATATCTTCTAGAAAGCTCAGTGAATTGTATCGTCTGCAGAAACATTTGCGAATTTCGTCCACTGTAAACGATTCACGTTTAACCACGATTCGCGATATATCCGTACGTTATTCACCATTTGCAGATGACTATTAGCAGCACAATGCTCTCAGGCGCAAAATCTCTAGGTGTGGAGTAACACTTTTTGAGCCAAAATATTGCATTTTGTAGTGTGTGTGCTCAGTCCAAAAATTCCTATCTATCCACATATTTTTGCAGCTCACTGAATTTCACTGTCCACTGAAGCAATCATACCTGTGGTGGAAGATTCTGGTGGAATAATTTCCCAGCATCGCCGAGCCATCGGGATGCCTAAATGGGGCCCAAACCGTTGGACTGGTACTTTTAACTCAGTTGTTCGATCGCTTTAACCCATCGGGGGCACGTCATAGTCGTCGAAAATTGAATGCCATTAGGCGAATACTGAGCGCCCGGTTTTCACAGCCGGTAATGATTAAACTTGAAGATCCGCTCACTAAAACGGAAGATCCATGCTAGCAATTTGCCGAATAATTAGACATTTTCGCTTTGAAATGGTAACCCTGAAAATTTCATCACTTAAGCGAAATCAATTCCCCTGTGCGAATACTGAGCACAGTCGGGCTGCAACCTCTCTGATTGGAGCGGCGGATCCCAAAATAATGGTTCTTATTGACGTTTAATCTGGCAAATCGGGACAAATCTCGTTCCAGTGCGTACCCGGCTCGCGACCTATATCTCGGACCATCGCCACTGCTGTTGGACGAGTGAATCTGCCTTCTTGAGAATCCCTGTTCTACACGCCGCTGGCTATTCGCACAATGAGATTGATTTCTCGAAATCTACGGCATTTTCAGACTTCCCACTTCATAGTGTAGAATGTCTATGTATAAGGTACATGCTCCTGTATTAGTGAAAATTCTTTACTATGGCGATTTGTTTAAGTGAACTAAATCTCCAGGTGAATAAACACCGCCGACTTTGAATACCTTAACGGATGAAAAAAATCGCGAATTGTGGAAAAGGTTGACTCACATACAATGAACGTAACTTTCAGGTATTTTTCCACCGGAACAGACTTCCTCAACATTCTAGAATCTAAATGGCCTTTGGAGATGCAACTTATGCGCAGGCGCATTCGTGCAAACAACTTTTGGCCGATGATTCCTTGTTGCCAGTGGTGCACGCTAATTATTTGCTAAACATCGTGAACGTTGACTGGCAACTTACAGAGTTTTTCATTACAGGTTCCGAGTTATGCTAGAAAGTCCTTCGGGTTCATCGATCTTAACCGATGCACACCACAGCATGCGGCTAGAGGTACACGATACCTAACTAACTAGCCACATAAAGCCTACGTCGATAATACCAGACAGCTGGACGATCTTAACCGACGCACACCGCTAACATGCGGCTAGGGGTACACGACACCTAACTAACTAGCCACATAGAGCCTACATCGATAATACCAGACAGCTGGACGATCTTAACCGACGCACACCGCTAACATGCGGCTAGGGGTACACGACACCTAACTAACTAGCCACATAGAGCCTACATCGATAATACCAGACAGCTGGACGATCTTAACCGACGCACACCGCTAACATGCGGCTAGGGGTACACGATACCTAACTAACTAGCCACATAGAGCCTACGTCGATAACACCAGACAGCTGGACGATCTTAACCGACGCACACCACTAACATGCGGATCACATGAAATCATCTTCATCTCTTTCATCTAGCCGGCGCTCTACAGAGTTAGTCGTAGTTGTCAGACAGACTCACGGCCGTCGAGTAGTTCCTCTGTGGACCCGAAAACACGGAC